ACTGTTTCCAAATGAGTTCAATATCATAACGTGAGAAACCTTGAAAGATAACGAAGTCAGTTATGAGACGTTTTATGTTTAAAGCTAAAAACCTCCATGTTTGCATAAGTATTGCTACAGTTAAGTGGTAATGTCTGACTTTAGTAATGATGTTAGCTAATGGTGAGTCAGGCTTTGACACTAAACCTTTTCCGGCGAAGTCGTCACAAACGAGCAGAGTGTTTGAAGGATACTTTTTGAAGGGGTATTTTGAAAGTTTTGATAGAATGTAGTTTGTAAGTCGTTTCATATCGTAAACTCCTGAGTATTGACGTAAGTGGTGTTTGTCAATAATTCTTTCCATCTCTCAGAAGTCTTTTGCATTCCTGACTGTATAAATTCAACGATGGCATAATATTTCCTCTTACGTCGAATGTAACGTTGAAGAAATTCAATGAGTTCGCTATCTGGAACTTTAACGACAGAGGCTTGAACTTTTGACATAAATGTTTTCGCTGTTGAGTCCATAGAGTCTGAAGTTGCTGATATAATGATTTGGTCATAATATGAAGTCTTCCTAAACGCTCTGTTATGAGTATATGACGAATGAGGTTAAATGTCTTACCTGAACCCATCTTTCCACAATAGAAATAACACCATTTGAACAGAACTCATAGTCCTTACTGAAAGGAAGAATGAGAGAAGAGTTAAGTTTGTCTGTAGTTTCATTCATGTCTTCATCTACGTCATGTATTAAATGCTTCATTTTATCTCCATTAAAAATGCAAGTCAGAAATATTCAGAACATAGCACCGAGTCTAACTGACAAGAGTATAAAGATATACTATGAACACGTTATGATGAAACCAACCAAAATTCAAGAAAGTCAGTATACTTATGAATATCCAAGACACTGGGTAGAGTATGTAGGAGGTGAGAAAGCTATTGAAATAAGACAAGTTAAGTATTCCAGCAGGAAGAACAATATTATTGAAGAACTTTAATGTTTTGAGTATAATGATGAAACAAAGAAGCAAGATAGTTTTCCTATTGCTGTGTATGTGAACCTAGACACAGGAGATGACATGAAAGTTTTTAACACAAAGCTTCAAACGGTAGTGAGAGAACAACTGACTGCGGAAGGACATCCATTACCTTCAGAAGTTACCATAGCATATAATTTTGAAACAAACTCAATAGATTTTAAAGTCATCTCTGCAAAGAAGTCAGGTTTTACATTTAATGAAGCAGATGTATATTCGAATGAAAACTTCAAAGCTATTGCATGGTTAGATAATGACGATTGCTTTAAGAAAATATTTAAATTCAGTGACTCAACGATGTCAATAGATGACCTTCGTGGAATGTTACCATCGACGTTTACAGTAGAAGGTTCAGCAGGATTGCTTACAAGATTGTCAATTGGTGGTATTTGGTCTCGTGAGAACATTGTTATAAAATCCAGTATAAGTGAATTTGCTGAAGAATCTATATTATGTCTTTCAAACCTACATATGTATTCGCCGCCGAAGCATTATAGTATAACAAACTTTGTCAGTAAGTTTAAATATGACTTGTCGAACCTTCTTCAATGAAAGATGTTGTGCTACCTAAAGATGGAAAGGATGGACTCATTATTGAGATGATTTTAATAGCATATTAAATGAGCTTGTTTTTAAGGTCATTCATGATGAAATAACTGTTGTAGAAGATGTTAGCAATTGTTCAGACATTTTGAAGCGAATAGATGAGATAAGAAAGAAGTTAGATAGACCGCAAAGCGGTGAGGGCGAAGCCCGTGAGAATGTTATGTTTCATTGACTTTCTCCAGTAAAGAGAACTTTTATGAGATAATATTGAAGAGAGATGATTTTAATATGGTGTAAATGGTAGCTTGGGCAGCTTTAGGCGCAATGGGAACAAAAGCATTAGCATTTGGAGCAAAAGCACTTGGGCTTATGACGCAGTAAATAAAATGAGTGGAGGAAGGGTTTCGAAGACATTAGATGCAAATAAAGGGAAGATTGGAGGCTGGGTTGCAAAGAAGTTAAGATTAAATAAAATAGGGCTCATAAATAAAGCATCCAATTTGGTTGCGACTGAGTCAGAAAATGCTTTAGGAAAGGACGATGAGTTTGCAAAACATGCAAAAGACTTTAATGACCAGATGAAAGGTGAAACAATGCATTTAAATAGAGTCGATGGAACTCTTCCTCCACCAGTAGTTCTTCCGTATGGTCCCTATGGAATGTATGGAAACCCTTACGAAAGACCATTTGACCCATTGACTGGTGGAAGTAACTGGTATCATTACGGACGAAGAAGAAAGACAGTCAAGTTGGAGACAGACGTGAAGAAAGCAACTAAAAAGAAACCAAGGAAGAGAGTTATAAAGTAATGAGAACGTTTATGTTATGAGAAATTTTTAACGTTAGTTTTATTTTTACTGAAAATTTTTATTTGGATGTAATGACGAAAACTATTGAGATAACAAACTACAACGGTCATGAGTTCAAGAACTTGTTCTTCGTTCCTCGTGAAAATACATTCTATCAGATACGAGGGAGAAAGGGTAAAGTTAGTTTGAGCGTTTATGATAGCAAACATAATGGAAGATATATACAAGCAGTAGATACAAACGGTAAGCGTGTTTCATTAGCTTTGTCAAAACTTATAAACATTAATTATGACAGCGACTTTGACCTATATGAAGAAGAAAGTGAGTCAGAAGATTATGAGCTGTTATATGAAGCACAGCAATGGGAGGAGTTGCAATACTTTTGTAAGTGAGAACGTTAGTGTGAACGTTAGTGTGTACGTTAGTGTGTACGTTAGTGAGAACGTTAGTGAGAACGTTAGTGAGAACGTTAGTGAGAACGTTAGTGAGAACGTTAGTGAGAACGTTTATTTTTTCATGCACGTGCATTGTGTCGCGGGGAGTTGCCATGGGCAATGACCTGCGCACAATATATAACGTACAGAGAGGTGAGATGAGGTGGTTTATGTGATAAATACTTTACGTGGCAGAAATAGTTTAAGGTTATTAGAAATATTGCATCTGCGATGTAAAATATACGTTAGTGGTTTTGTAAAGTGTCAGATTGACATATCTTCGGTAAGATGGCGCGCAGTGCCACCGTACTGAAGATATGTATACTAACTATCGCAATTGATATTCTTCAAAAACCTAATACGATGAATGCTCAATATCTAATTGACAATGTTCTTACTCAAATTATCAATTCTGATGAGTTTGAGAAATCCAAACAACAAAAACAAAAGTTTGCAATTCATTTTGATAATTCAAGAGTTCACAAAAGTCATAAGGTAATGAATTACTTGGTGGAAAACAATGTCAAAGTTGTTCCAAACCCAATTTATTCACCTGATATTGCACCCTCTGACTTTTATTTATTCGGCACGCTAAAAAAGAGAGCTGAAGGACGCGAATTCGCGAGTCCAGATGATCTTGAAAATTTTGTAAGAGAGCAATTTGAGCAATTTTCTCATGATGATTTAAAGCGTGTCTTTCAAGCCTGGATCGATCGCTGCGAACGCGTGATTGAATCCAATGGTGATTATATTTAAATAAACTTTATATATATGTAACTTGTTTATTTCTATTCGCAGTATTCAGGTTTGTGCTAAACACACCTTTGGACACCCTATATAATAATTTATTTATAGCATTTTTTACTATACTGTAATAAAAAATTAATTATAATAAATTAAATGTTTATTAAATCAAATGTTTTCTTTGCAATAATATTTTTAATGTTGAGTAAACAATGTTGGGATCAAGTGTATCATTTTTCAGACCTTTCTGAACAGCTTCAAGCATACTGATGCATTCGACTTTTTTAAATTGTGTCATTTCTTCGAAATCTCTTGTGACTTTTTTGATAACTTTAACACTTCTCTCTGAATCCAGACCTTTAATTTGCAACTTAATCAGGAATGAAGGAACAACACTGGAATATAACTCGATGACAAGTTCATCGAGTCGAAGATTTGGTTGTACACCACTTGTATGTGCCGGATACCATTGTGTCAAATTTTTTCTGAAATTAACTTTAAAAGTACTAAGTAAGATCATGAGATATAGCAATATATGTTTAAACCAACTTATATTTTGGTTGTACACCACTTGTATGTGCCGGATACCATTGTGTCAAATTTTTTCTGAAATTAACTTTAAAAGTACTAAGTAAGATCATGAGATATAGCAATATATGTTTAAACCAACTTATATTTTGGTTGTACACCACTTGTATGTGCCGGATACCATTGTGTCAAATTTTTTCTGAAATTAACTTTAAAAGTACTAAGTAAGATCATGAGATATAGCAATATATGTTTAAACCAACTTATATTTTGGTTGTACACCACTTGTATGTGCCGGATACCATTGTGTCAAATTTTTTCTGAAATTAACTTTAAAAGTACTAAGTAAGATCATTTATTTTTGCATAATATAATGCCAATATGGTTTCTTTTGATTTTATTTCATTTATAAGCAAATCAGATTTACCCAAAAACTCCACTCCATAAGCGTTCATTTGCTAAATTAAAAAGTGACAATGGGCTAGTCTGTCCCTTTCTCAGTAAAGTGGGATTGAGGTATTTGTTATCGAGATTGTTTGATTTTAGATCTCTGATTTCGGCAAGTATGCAGAAAAACCATATTGTGAGCAGTCTAAAATGGATAAACAGCCATTCTAGATTCAAAAAAATCTTTGTGAATTGCTTTGTTATTGAATTTAATTGCGACCTTTTCGCTTAATGAGGTCCAAAATCATGGTTCCGATTTGTTCTATGTTCGCGATTGATAAAGAAAATCGCGTTTAATTTTGATCACAATTTTCCATAAAAATCGCGATTTTTTAGAAAAATCGCGACCACAATAAAATCGCAATTCATTAAAAAACGCGATTTTAAAAAAGTCGCGATTTTTCTAAAAAATCGCGATTTATATATTTAAATCGTGATTAAAAAAAGTGGTTGCGGTTTTCCCTATTATAATGTCAGAAAAACAAGTTCATGTTGCTAATTGTATAACTATTTTACAAATCCTTAGTGAAAAGTATGGTCTGTTACCTGAATATGAAGAACATCTAAAAAATAAAATTTCAGATGTTTGGAAACATTTTAAAGAATATCGTGATAAGGGTGAAATTAAATACTTTCTTGATCGTATGGAGCATTTTATATGGAAGACACGCGAATTTAATCATTTAGATGCTAAGCAGAAGTCAATTGCCAATTTTCTTCATGAAGATAGCCCTTTTAAGGACAAAAAGATTATTGCGTACGCTTATGTACGAACTGATTATAATGTTTACTGTTTTCTTTTTTACAGTTCAAAATCTCGTGATGGACGTTTTTGTAGATACACGTGCATGGAAACAAGTAATTACATTAGCAAAAATTTAAATTTTGATGTTTTAAGAGCAGATTCATTCATACCAAGATCTTGTAGAAAGGTTACTCCAGTAGAAAGATCAAATGATGGAGTACTAGAAGAGGGTGCTCCAGTAAAAATATCAAATGATGAAGAACATACAGTGGATGCTCAAGGAGAAATATCAAATGATGAAGAACATACAGTAGATGCTCAAGGAGAAATATCAAATGATGAAAAAAGGATGCTACTATTCAAAAAATGTATGAATATGCAATTGAGTATCAATATAAATATCAAACTGAGTTTGCGAATTAAGTTGTAAACGTCGAAATAAGTTGTAAATGCTACTAAATCGACTAATGTGTGTGTCTTTCTTGTTTTGATAAAGTTGTTTACAACTTATTTCGCTAACTCTAATATAGTAGCTTATTACACTTACACGTTTTATGTAACGAATGATTTATTACGTATTAATTTCAATAATTTTAATCACATAATTTTCATGATAAGATGGGAATTATTCTGCTTGTGTTATACATGATAGTCACCGATTGGAGAGAAAATTAAGCTGCACCAATTATTTCTTACATTTATGGAAAAACGAGACTATCTTTGCTAATTGTAAACAATTTGAATTGAAGTCAGCTGAGTAAAATTACATTCTAACGGAAACATTCCTATTACATATTATAAACATGGAGTGATTTCAAACGAGTTAAAGATCAAAACTCTTTCTCATGTAACAGTGCAGAGTTTTATTGTCCTTCTAAATGATCATAAAAAAAAATCGAACCAAAATATAATTCTCATTCTAAAAATTATTTATTTATATATACTTTAGACTTTAGCGTTTTTGGCGAGCAGGAGCACAAGTAATGATTTCATCAACACGAAGGATCTGCTCAGCAGCTTCAGAAGCAGAGATAAGTACCTGGCGCTTTACGCGGAAGCTCTCAGTGATACCGAGTTCAGCGATGTCAGCGACTCCTCCTTTCTTGATGTCGAGGCCGTATGTGTGCTTTCCTTCGGCATGGGCAGCGCGGATTGAAGCGACGATTTCTGGAGCATCGAGGCCAGCGTTTCCAGCGATGATTGTTGGGATCTGGCGGAGAGCGCGAGCGAATCCTTCCATGGCAAGGGAAACTTTGCCTGGTGTATGGCGGGCGGCGTTATCAACAGCCTCAGCCATGAGGATTTCGGAGCATCCTGCACCATAAACTGTGCGTTTCTCTGTCATCATTGATGCGATGACGCAAAGAGCATCGTGGAGGGCACGCTCTGCTTCATCGAGCATCTGTTGTGTAGCACCACGAAGAACAACTGTAGATGTAGCTGGTTCGTGGCATCCTGTGAAGCGGATTAACTTATCTTCACCGATCATGATGGATTCGACAGTCTTTGCGTAGCCGAGCTTGACCTTATCTGGTGTATCGAATGTAGAAACGATGTCACCGCCTGTAACAAGTGCAAGGCGTTCGACACCGGCGAAATCTGCCTGTTCGATGGAGTTGATATGGTGTTCTGTGAAGTATTGTTCTGGAAGGTTGTAGATGAGCTGGCGGTTGACGAAAAGTGTTGGCTTGTGAGCGGCAATCTTGTCGCACTTTGTAAGCATCTTCTGGCGCTCTGCCTGCTCGATCTTGGCGAGCTGCTCTGGGGAATCTGTCTCAATCTTGGCACCGTTGATCTTGATCTTATCGGCATCCATGGATGTGTTTGCGATAAGGATCTTGGCGTCTTCAATCTTTTGTGGCTGGCCAATGCCGAAGTGGCACTTGAGGATGAGGCCATCAACGAGCTCGGATTCGCGAAGGGCTCCACCTGTAACTTTAACAATGGAAATTGCATCGAGACGAGATGGATCGCGAAGGCGCTCAACAGCGGAAACGGCAATCTCAGCAAAGTGGTCGCGTTCCATAGCAAGAACTTTACTGTTGAGTGTTGTACGAGCGACGTTAAGAAGATCTTCACGGAACTTAGTGTTGTCAACGGAGTTATCCTTAGCGGAGCCCTCAAGAGCCTTCAAAGCAACTTGAACGGCCTCATGCCATCCCTTGACAATGGTCTGTGGATGAATGCCCTGACCAACGAGATTCTCTGCCTCGTGAAGTAACTGTCCGCAAAGAACTGCAACAGATGTTGTGCCATCACCAACTTCAGCATCCTGAGCTTGTGAAAGATCAACAATGATACGAGCAGCTGGGTTGTCAATAACAATTGACTTAAGGATTGTAGCACCATCGTTGGTTACATTAATTGTGTCGAGGTTTGAAAGAGATTGAAGAATTTTGTCCATACCTTTTGGACCTAATGTTGCCTTAACAAGGTCACAGATAGCCATAGCACCTGTGAAGGCTGACATACGAGCCATTTCACCGCGCTCTTCATTGGCACTTGTGTCTAAAAGTTGGACTCCTGCTGTTTTCATTTATGTGGTCACGACACGTTTATTAATTCTAATTTCACTTTTTCGCCCTGCTATGTAGTCACTTCCATTTTTATGGTAAAGAATGCTCAATTTTAAAGAAATATATGATCAATATCATAGCATGATACATAAACTTTCATGTACATATATTTATTTTTCATAAATCCATAGAAAAAGTAATAAAATTTCAAGATATTTGGTGACATATATTAATATCCCAAATTTGACTTAATATATAACTGTAAACCATATGCACAATCATACCAACTGATTAATTTTAAAAAATCTCTTCTGCTCTAGAATACAATATTAATAATCTCTTCAATTTACTGAATCTATATTCAATGATATGAATGATCATTTGAAATAAGCAATTAGTCATATTTAAAATGCATAATTTTGTGGTTTAATTGCATTTTGCTAAAAACACGAGATTTTGTATAATTTATTAAGGAAACTTGTTTCTAATGAGATTATAATTACGTTTATTGGTTAAATAAGAGATTTCGGATCAAATGTAATCGAAAGCACCTAAGGTATCTTTTACCTATTTGAATATACAGGTGCAAAACAAGATGTGATATTAACACCTTCGAAATATATTATCCGAGTATGGGGTGCACAAGGCGGGCATATCAACAACAAAAGTGCAGGTCTTGGTGCATACACAGAAGCGATTTTCCGTTTCAAGACCCAAACAAGACTTAATGTCTATGTTGGAAGCGAAGGCCAATGTGCAAACAAAGTTCTTCCTTCAACTTTTTTTCAATCTGGAAGGAATGCTATCGGAAGTAATAAATTTCAATCATGCACTGGTGGTGGATCAACTTTTATTAGTGTAAATAACAATATATCTGATGTCCTTATCGCCTCTGGCTCTGGAGGAGGTTCAGGAAATTGGACAGACGAGAGTCCCGGCGGTTATGGCGGTTATATTGGAGAACACGGATACGATTTTATTTATCAAAGATACTTTGCAGGAGGTGGCACCCAAAACGAAGGCGGTTCTGGAGTTATTTTTAATTCTGATTGCGATTCTACATCAGGAGACCGTTTGAAAGGTGGCGATGCGAATTCTTGCATTGGAGCATCATCAGGAGGTGGTGGAGGTGGTTATTATGGTGGCGGCGGAGGTATGGACATAAGCGGGGGCGGGGGAGGAAGCAGTTTCGTGAGAAGTGACTCAATATCGTTCACTTTTTATAATGGAAGTGAATCATTCAAATCCCCAACCGGTGCACTAGAACGAGGCCACCATGGCCATGGCACCATAATAATCCAACCAATACTTGTTTGTTCTGCTAACAAATTCTACTTCGATATTCACTTTTCGTCAACATTACTTTTCATTTTATTAGAATTCAAATAAAATACTATTTATTCATAAAAATAAGATACAATATTTTCTTATAAGCCTACAAATAGCTGAATGCGATTGCTTTATACTTAATCAAGAATTAATCCTAATTGAGATATTTATGCTAGATATCATGAGCAAGAAATCATTATTGTTGTATTATAAATGTGGTTATTGTGAAAATAAGAAATAATTTGAATAATGTTTGATCTGGAATCAGAGGTATCTTTTACTTATTTGAATATACAGGTACAAAACAAGATGTGATATTAACATCTTCGAAATATATCATCCGAGTATGGGGTGCACAAGGTGGACATTTCGAAAACGAAAGTGCAGGTCTTGGTGCATACACAGAAGCAATTTTTCTTTTCAAGACTCAAACAAGACTTAATGTCTATGTTGGAAGTGAAGGCCAATGTGCAAACAAAATTCTTCCTTCAAACTTTTTTCATTCAGGAAAGAATAATATCGGAAGTAATAATCTGCAATCATGCACTGGTGGTGGATCGACTTTTATTAGTGTAAATAACGATATGAATGATATCCTTATCGCCTCTGGCTCTGGAGGAGGTTCCCGGCGGTTATGGCGGTTTTATTGGACACAAGGTCAGGATTTTATATATCAAAAATATAATGCTGGAGGTGGTACCCAAACTAGAGGTGGTGGCGGGAGCCACTATGATGTTGAAGGTAATATATGCGATTCTTATGCAGGATCGCGTTTGAAAGGCGGTGATGCTAACAATTTCCGTGGAGCCTCGGCTGGGGGTGGTGGAGGTGGTTATTATGGCGGCGGTGGCGGCGTGGATGTCGTCGGTGGCGGTGGTGGAAGTAGTTTCGTGAGAAGTGATTCAATATCGTTCACTTTTTATAATGGAAGTGAATTATTCAAATCTCCAACCGGTGCACTAGAACGAGGCCACCATGGTCATGGCACCATAATAATCCAACCAATACTTGTTTGTTCTGCTAACAAATTCTACTTCGATAATCACTTTTTGTCAACATTACTTTTCATTTTATTAGAATTCAAATAAAATACTATTCCTCAATTCATATCACTTTGCCAAAGTCGTAAATGAAATTGAGAGATTACGTATAATGATTATCTGCGAATTTGTTTGATGAAATGTGTTGAAATTGCATTATAGGTTTTACTAACAATAAATAGTTTATTCTTAATTATAGCACATATTATATTTCAACTTATAAAACAGAATCATGTTATAAATCATATTTATTTGGCATTCATTGCACCATGCTCAACTAAGAAATTAACAATCTCTGATGACTTTTTTCTGGTTGCAATACTCAGAGGACAATTAATAATATCTAAAGGATTTCATAAGACAATGATTAAAATGAAAAATAAATAAATAAAATGACATTATAATTGTAATAAACAGAAATTCATCAAAAGTGACAGCTCTCAATTTTTTGACATTTGTAAATTCTAAATTGAATGAGAAAAATGAAATAATACTAAGCATAATACAATATTCTAGATTTAATTATAATTAGGAAAAGTTAGTTTTGAGAGTACTTTTCATAGGCATATAGAATGAAATCTTCTGAAAAATAATATCACATAAACTCATATTATTTTCTAATATATAACTATTTTATATAAAAATCAAATTCAATGATCTTAAAAGCGAAGGATAAACCTCAAAATTTACGAATATAATGAGTGGGAATAGGCGTAAAGCAAAAATTGATATTTCATATGGTTTTATGATAGATAAGCATTATATTCCCACTCATTATATTCGTAAATTTTGAGGTTTATCCTTCGCTTTTAAGATCATTGAATTTGATTTTTATATAAAATAGTTATATATTAGAAAATAATATGAGTTTATGTGATATTATTTTCAGAAGATTTTGTGTTCTTCTTCAAAATTTTATTTTTTTTATTAAAAAGAATCTTTACAAAATATACATTTACTTTAATTAATATTTAAAAACGTGCTCTATCAAAAGTTCCAAAAATTCAATATTTTAGCTTTTCTGAGGTGTCACTTTTGATGAATTTCTGTTTACAACATAATCGATATGAAAAGTAATAGAATGATATAAAATAATGTAGATTATGGAAAGATGGAGAATTTTATAAAACTATAATTATTTTGAAATGATAAAGAATGTAATTAAAGAATGATAGATGTGAAAAGTAAATGAATTGCATGACATAATCAATGATATCAAAAGAAAGGTAATTTTATTTAACAAAGATAGATATCGAAAGAAAGAGAATTCTATATGGTAAAGGAAGATATATAATGAGAGAGATTATAATGAATCAATAAAAAATATCAAAACAATGAGAATGGCATAATATAATGATTAATATGAAATGATAAATAATATAATGAAACAATGTTAAATGCAAAAAGATAGATCATTCTATAACATAATAATAAAATGAAAGTCATGGAAAGAATGAAAATTATACAAATAAATGATTTATTTGTGAAAAAATAAAATTTCATATTGAGCAGGAAGAAAATTTCATGGAACAATGATAGATGTTAAAAGAAGTAAGTGAATATAATAAAACATCGATAAATATAAAAAGAAAAAGAGTGCAATAAAACTAATATAGATATGGAAACAAGGCGAATTAAATCAAATATTGACGGATATAAAACTAAAATGAATCATATAAAACAATGATAGAAACAAGTATAAAGAAAATTTCACAAAGCAATGATAGATATGAAAAGAAATATATTAAGTCTTATATTGACATCTGCTCCATGTTCAACTAAGAATTTAACCATTTCAAATGAGTCTTTTTCAATTGCAATAGTAAGAGGGCACTCATTAATATCTAAAGCATTTCATATTTCAGTGATAGATCTGAGAAGAGAGATAATCCAATTAAACAACTAGAGATATGAAAAGAATAAGAATTTTATGAAATTATGATTGGTATGGGAAAGAAGAGAATTTCATAAAGCAATAGCATATTTGAAAAGAAGTAGAACATCATAATAAAAAGAAAGATAATCTCACCTTCAATATTGAAATAAAGAGAATTGTATAAAATATTGACAAAGATGAAAATAAAGAGAAGAAGTTTCATATCTACATCTGCTCCAAGTTCTATTAGGAACTTTGCAATTTTAATCGAATTCATTTCGACAGCAATGCTAAGTGGACATTCATTTATATCAAAAGAACTTCATAATTAAATGAAAGATATGAAAAGATAGTGAATTTTATAACTCAATGAAAGATGTGTAAAGGAAATAAATTTTATTAAACAATAATTAATATAAAAGGAATTAGAATGATATATAATAATGATTGACATGGAAAGAGAGATAATGCAGTATAACAATAATAAATACGAAAAGATGACGAATATAATAAAATAATGTTAGATATGAGCAGAAAATGAATGATACAAGACTTTAATAAATATAAAAAGATAGCAAATTCTCTCATAACATGATAATGTATATAAAATGATATAGATTTAATTAAAACTTTGAAAAACACGAAAAGAAAGTGAATTTTATAAAACATTGAATGATATGAAAGGAGGGAGATTTCTAAAAAACAATAATCAATATGAAAAGGTGGAGTATTCTATGAAACATTGAGAGATATTAAATGGGATAGAATTTTATGAATTAATAATATATATGAAATGATATCGAGTCATGTAAAATAATGTGAGATATGAAAGTAAATCGAATTCCATTTAACTAATATAGATATAATATGAAAGATAATGCAATAAGGGAAAGATATATTTGAAAAGAAAGAGAATTATATAACGCATTGAAAGATTTGAGAAAAGAGAGAATGACATAATACAAAGATTGATATCAGAAGAAATAGAATTGAATAATGCATTGATAGATACAAAAAGATATCGAATTCCAAAAAACAATGATCGATATGATGAATTTTTGTTAGATATGAAATGATAGCATATGCTATTTATCAATGATAGATATGGAAAGAAATGTAATTTCCTAAAATAATGATATATACTTGTTGAAAGAGAATTTTAAAAAGCATTAGTTGACATGGAAAGAAAATAGATTTTATAAAACAATGATGGATATGAAAGGAAAATGAATCCAATGAAACAATGATATATATTTGAATCAAGAGAATTTCGTAAAGCAATGATAGATATTTAACTAAATGGAATTTCGTAAAATAATAAAAGATATGAAAAGAAAAAGAATGCATTTAAACAACAATCAATATAATAAGAAAGAGAATTTTGTAAAACAATGAATGACATGAAAAGAAAAAAATTGTAAATTCTATTGACATCTGATCCATTAGTAAGTAAATAAGATGCAATATCAAAATTTCCGAAATGCATGCAATCTGCAATTGAATCAAGATGTTGTCCAAAATTCGATTTAAGATATTCTGCAATTTCAATATTATGATACTCTAATGCTGTGTGGATCATGTTATCAAATGTTTGACCATCATCTATCATTTGCATAAAAATGTTTTTATTTCCGTTTTGAATAGCATAAATCGACGAATTATTAGTATACTTGGCTCCCATATTTTTCAAGAAATTGAAACATAACTCTGATCCATATTTGATTGCACAATCAAGAGGAGTCATACCTTTTATTTCTTTATTAGTATCGAAGTTTGGGTAAGTGTTTTTTAGCTCATCGATTTTATCCCACGCAATATAGTATAAAGGAGATCCTTTTGAAAATAGATTAATAATTTTTTCTTGTTTTTGGTTTGGTCTGAAGTTCTCAAATATGAAACCTTTGTAGTGCAACAAATTAGCTAAACTATTATTGTTAGGTTTTATATTACATGAAAATTTATTTGATATCATTTGATAAAGTTCGGCAAAAAATTCAATATTTTTAAGGCGAATTTTGGAAAAACTATCAATTAAATAAAGTGTCATCTGGATTGATATTTTATTTGTTTTAATGAATTCAATGATTTGTGATGATATTTCCAAAATATTACTGGAATTGACGCCTAAAATAGCTTTTGTAGCTTGATCAGGATATTCAAATGTTTCATTTGGCTTATTATTGCTTAAATCTTGGTATTCTTCACTTGCAACTAACTCTGGACTCGACATTAAAAAAAAATGATCAAATTTTATCGCTTTTTGAATAAATTTATTTTAAAAATGATAAAATGTTATAGTTCTTTATGCTCTTTTTCAATAAAATTTTTCATTTGTATTTTGAATACATCACAAAATTTGAATGATTGATTGAAAAAGAATATTTTTTTAGTTTCTTATTGTACGCATGCACCTACCTGGTATTCTATCAATGTTTTTGCATTGTGTGGCCAAATTTTAGATTTTTTTCTTGAATGATATGAATTAATTTATGTTTTGATGCGACACTCTCATATAAAATGTTAACTCATAAGAGAAGATCGCGGTTTCTTCATCAATGAAACAGACTTCCTAAAAATTTTATCAAATTCTCATGTTTATTTTGTAATTTTCGCAATTTATTGGTAATTTACAGAGAGATGTACTCTAATAGAGCTCAAAGTCATAATCTATGATGAATCAATCAATGTCAAATCAAAATTTTAAAAAAAAGTGAATTTTTCATGAATAGAAAGCAAACTTTATTTGGAAAGGTTAATTTCCCATATGACCAAGGACAAGATAAATCAAATCAACCAAAACGCTTAGCTCACGAAATTACTGATGTAAATGAGGAAGTTGAAAAAATTATTGCAAATACTGATTCAAAAAAGCTTGCAGATAAAATCAGAGCACTTAACATCGATGAAGAAATTGTCAACGATACCATTGTAGGAATTTTAGAATCTGATTCCGAACTTTTTGTCAATCTTTCTCAATGTATTACTTCATTCGAAAGAGAGTTTGCAGAATTCCCACAAAAAATCGATAGTTTGCTTAGCATAGTTTCCGAGATATCAAGTTTACCAGTTCCAACTATCGATGATATTCCTTTACCACCAGAATTGAAGAAATCAGAAATTCTTGACCAGCCTGCATGGCTTGTGAACGCACCATTAATGTATGATGCATTACTTCAGCAGCACCGCATTGAAGATTCCGTTGCTCTTGTTGTTAAATGCCAAAATTGTCATGAACACAACATTCCATCAGTTTCTGAATGGATTGATCATACTCGTGCTGAACTTAAAGCAGAAATACATAATCGACTTTCAAATCTTCCAATTAATGGACAAGAAGCCCGTAATGAAATAAATCAACTCAAAGACCTCGGATTTGAGTCAGATTCGATGCCTCTTTTCCTCAAACTTGCATCAAAATCTCTCGCCAAGAAGATGCCTCAATTCAAAGAGACAGCACAATTTATTCCTTTCATAACTAAGTCAACGCAAGTTCTTTGCCAAGAAATAATTACTACAATGGAGTCATTCTTCGCATTATTCGGTAACGATAACATCGCTTGCCTCACAGATTGGGTTACTCAAGAAGTTTCACAAAAATTACCAATTTACAGGAACGACATCATGCCAGGAAATTTTGCTTTCATGCGCGAAGCTGTAAAAATTACTCAGAATGAGCTGAAAGTACTTTCCGACCATGGTGTTTCTTTACTTCAATTATTTGCTGACATGCCACACAGATTTGCGGAACTTCTTGAACTTAGCCAGCAGCAGAATGTCGCAGAGATCAATGCTACCATCTCAGAAGATAGTTTCGATGCTCAGCCACCTAAAAAAGGAAAAATTACTTTATTGGATTATCCAAGCAGCATCAGTTTCGACAAATTCAAGAGCCATCTTGACCAGTTCATGAAAGACTTCGAGTTCCTCTACGATCCATCCATCTTCTTCGATTGCGACACCCAAATTAACACCGTTTTGCTTTCTTACGGCGAAATGTGCATTGATTTGCTCGAATCCCTCGAGGAAGAAGAAGACACGGATGATATCGATGCATTCGCAATGTTTAGATCCATTTCCGTCCAACTTTCCAAAGTATCAACTTATTTGTTACCAGAAGTTATGAAAGCTTTCAGAAGAGTGACTTATTATGAATCACCAACCAAGAAACAGACCGAAGAAGCTTGCCACAAGGCAATTGACACTGTTTGCACACTTCATGTGAAATACTTCTTCAATGCATGGAACGCAAGCATCGGAGATGTATCCAGTCCTTTCCTAAACTTCCAATGGGAGTCAACAAACGATGTAGATGACCAATTTGAGCCAGCATTGAACAGAATTTCGGAATTCATTGACAGTTTGAGACTCCCGACAGCAATTTATGACAAGACACTTTGTATATTCTTGGATCAGTTGTTAATTGCTGTTAAAGATGCTGGAAGATTCATTGAAGACGTTTCGATGTTAAATTCTTTCGATTTCCACTGGACATTGTTCTCACAATTGCTTAAAGAACAATTCCCAAGAGAAGCAATGGACCAATTCACTGCAAATGTTCGTTTAATCGAAAAAGATATTTGCAGAACTAATTTCATCAACGAAAACGAGACAATGACACCAATGATGATGATGAGAGCAGTTAAGGCTTTCATTGAAGCTGACCAAGAAGAGGAAGAAGAAGAAACAAAGAAATAGAAAATTTTATTAATATTTTTATTTACTTATCTCTATTTGTATTATGTAAAAATCCAGAAAATAATCTCATTAGATTTTTGAATTTGTTTTTTTGAAGTTTTTCTTGATAACAAATTTCGATTTCAAGAAAATGAAATAAAACTTGCGAGTGCATCAGGATGCTCATCTTGTGTTCTATATCCTTTAAGATTTTGAGGATTTTTTTTTTCAAATTCCAATCTTTATTTATCTATTTGACGAACAATATATTTAAGGATGCAGACTTGGCAATTCTGAGGTCATTTTGGCAATTCTTAAAAAATTTCCGGCGAAATTGGCGTCCGAAGGGCGCCAATTTCGCCCAATAAGATACATATATCATAGTTATTAGTATTTGGTTTTGGGACCTATTTTTTTCTCCTTTTTCTTCATTTTATTTTTAATTATATTGTATTTTAATTTCTATGTGAAAAATAAATCACACTCTGTTCATTTTGATGAGAGTCCTCTGCTATATTTTGTGAGCAGTTAAAAAAATTATTTTAAAAAATTATTCGAAATATAATAACAGAAATGCATTATCTTATTGAGAATTGAATATTAGTTCAACAAATGTATCATATTCACAAAAGAACTCCGCAAAACAGTTCAAATGATTAATATTATTCCATAATAATCAAAAATTTACATAATAATTCATGTAAGAAGGTCATCTCAGATGTAAGAAAGAATTTAGTCTTAAATTCATGTTGATTAAACGAAACAATAAGTATAAATATATTGCATTTTTAATAAATGAGTCTGATTTGATTTTATGTGTAGTTAAATATGTTTCAGTGTCATTGTTTCAGCTTTCTTGAAGCTTATGGCAATTGGGCAATTCTCAATAACGTACAATTGCCAAAAGAGTTTAAGGTTTGGCAATTCACTCAAATCACTGCGAAAAAAAATAACGTACAATTGCCAAAACCAAAATTGCCTTGGCAATTGTACGTTATTTTAAAAAGAGTTTACATTGAGTATCTCTAGTTTCGCTATAACCTAATACACAACATCACAAAAAACATAAATCCTTCGGCAAAAATATCAAATGATTCAATTTCAAATATCAAATTTCCAAAAATCATCAATAATGCCACCATTTTATTTCAAAAATATATAGAAACTAAAATATAGCATTCTCTTGCTTCTTTCAGACTTAAATAATGCAAAAATTACTATTTTTTTTCAAAACTTCGCTCATCCAAGAATTGCCAAGCTTGGCAATTCGTGATGAACAAAATTTGCGCTTTTGGCAGTTCCGACATAATATATTATATTATTATATATTAGCACAATATCATTTATAAATTAGAAATAAAGTCAGTTAAATCTTCTCTTTAATATTTATAAATATTTTTCATATTAAACAGAAAATCATGAAGCAAGGCAAACTTAGATGAAAATATTTTTGATAGAAATCAGAACACAAGCTTGTTATTATATAAAAATCAAGCCATGACATGTATTGACCATGAGTTGGCATCCCATCTGCAAAGTCAGTCTCTCTCAATCTGAAATACCTAAAATATCCTCTTGTTTCGAAAAAATACTCAGTTTCGAGGGTTGTGTTGGTAATTCTTGTCGAATTAATTTCCTGATATAATGAATAAAAGGTTTTATTATCATTCGAAAATTCCAATGAATAACTTGGCGGATGAAAATCCCATTTATAGCCATCTCGACTTGGACCCCGAATTTTCATCCCAGTAATTAAATATTGATTTTTCAAATCCATTAGCATGAAATTATCTAATTTTGTATATAGAAACCAGACATTGTCATCATTATGTTCACTTAAATGTTTCCAGCCATCAATATTAAAATATCGAAGGTCTTGGTATTGAAAAACATCAATATATCCTCTCTCAATAAGTCCTTTTCCATGCTTCGCAAGTAATTCTTTGAATAGTAAAACGCGGCGGCTCAGATCTAAATCATGATGTGAAAAAAACTGACTTTTTTTTGACAAAATTCATGATTCTGAATCAGAGATGCTATTGCAATAGTGTGTTTCAACTGTTTCGCATACTTTACTTAGAATTCACTTATAGTACGAATTCTTTAGCTCAAATTTCTCAATTATTACTTAATTCAGCTGAAATTAGCAAAAAACTATATTATTTAATTATGATTAGTTTAAAAACTATTGTGAAGATTATACCGAGCTATTTTTTTAATCTCAAGACAAAATTATGAGGAAAGTTATGAAATTGGAAAATATTAAATGAGAATAGGTTTGAGAACAAGCAGAACAGAAGTTAGTTATTACATAGAAATCAAGCCATGAAATATATTGGCCATGTTCAGGGTTATCTTTTCCTAAATCCGTTTCTCTCAAACGAAAATATCTAAAATATCCTCTTGTATCGAAATGATACTCTGTTTCTAGATTTGTATCATTAAGTCTTGTTGATTTCCTTTCTTGATATATTGGGAAAAAAGTTTCATTATCATTCGAAAATTCTAATGCATAACTTGGTTGGCAAAAATCCCATTTATAATATCTATCTACCCCGCGAATTTTCATTCCGGTTATAAAATATTGAGTTTTTAAATCCATTAGCATATAATTATCGGTTTTAGTGTAAAGAAACCAGATACTACTATCATTGTGTTCACACAGATACTTGTAACCTTCAATGTTATGAATTCGTAGATTTTGGTTTTGAAAAATCTCGACATAACCTTGCTGTATAAGTCCATTCCCATGGCGTGCAATTAAATCTTTAAATAATAATGTAATACGCCCTATTTAAATGAAAAGAATACCAATAAAGATTTTGAAAAGTGACAAAATCCTTTTTGCTACTGCGCGCCTGTAATAATACTATTCATTTTTCAAAAGAGGTTAGAGATTGCGAACTTTAAATATTTCTAGATAGAACTTCGAATAAAATATGTAATTTAATTTCAATATCTGAACAATTAAAAAATCCGGAAATATTCTAATTTAATTCAGCAATACATGAAGTTAAAATGTTATCATAGAAGTTATTTGAGTCCTTTTTTATTCTCTAGACAAAAATAAGAAGAAAGATAAGAAAATTGAAAATTTTATTTGAGAATAGGTAACATTACAAACAGAGCAGAAGCTTGTAATTACATAAAAATCAAGCCATGAAATATATTGGCCATGTCCTGTATCTCCATCTGCTAAATCAGTTACTCTCAATCGAAAATATCTAAAATATCCTCTTGTATCGAAATGATACTCAGTTTCTGCATTTGTATCAGAAATTCTTCTCGATTTACTTTCTTGAAATAATTGGAAAAAAGTATTTTTATCATTTGAAAATTCTAAAGCATAACTTGGTGGGTGGGCATCCCATTTATATACTTCAGACGTTTCTCGAATTTTCATTCCCGTTATAAAATATTGAGTTTTTAAATCCATTAGCAGATAGTTATTGGTTCTGGTGTAAATAAACCAGAGATTGCTATTGTTGTACTCACAGAGGTATTTAGATCCTTCAATATTGCGAGGTACAAGATTTTGATATTGAAAAACACTCACATATCCCTGTTGGATAAGTCCATTTCCATGCTTTGCAATTAAATCTTTAAATAATAAAACATCACGTCCCATTTAAAAAATATATCCCGATATTACATTTTTGAAAAGTGACATTCATTTGAGGTCTGCACACCTGTAGAATATTTCAAAACTAATTGTTCAACAATGGCAATATAATTGATATAACATAGAGTAATTTTAAGTAGCTATTGATAATGATATATGAGTGTATTGAGTTGGATGCTTTAAATATCAAGCATTTTGCATTATATAAAAAAAGTTATTGGACGTAAATAAAAATTTGTTTGAATCACATATTTTTGTTTAATAAACATTAGTAAATTAGTAATCAGATGGTTTTCCAGCCAATATCTCTTGGATTTGATGAACATCTTTTTCAACATCGACAGAAGATAATCTTGGCTTTCCTTCGTCTGGCTGCTGCGTTCTTGTCTTCATCTGTCCTTCTGATGGTACAGTTGGGAAATCTATTGGATGAGCTGAAATGAAATTTTGATAGTCTTTGCCAAGGAGGTCCTTGAGCTGGCTTGTAATTGTCTGATACGACTGATAATATGCTCTCATGAGTCTCTCGAAAAGTAATTTCTTGTATTCTTCAAGTTCTGTTTTAATTCTTTCAGATTCTCTTTTCATTTGCTCTTCAATAACATCTAACTTGATCTTGAGTCTCTCCTCAGCCTGAGCATGTCTCTTCTTTTTGATGTCTTTCACTAGATCGATGCAAGATTTTTGATCAGGATTTGTTCCATTTTCAAGGGCTTCCCATTCGTTCTCAATATCTGTCATTGCATCACGGAAGGCTTGATATTCTGCTTTTTGAACTTCGCTCAAGTTGTCCGGAATTGGAATTTCGGCAATGTGTTTCATTATGTCACCTTTTAAATTCACAAAATTTGTCACTTTTAGTGTGGCACTTTTATTATGCACCCAAAGGATACATTAGCAGGAATCGTTCCACGGCTTAGTGGCCTTGGATATGCTGATGCCAAACAGATCCTTGGAGAAATTCCTGCAAAATCTATGCGAGATGAAAGTCATATGTTTTGGGATTTATTTAATATTATGTATAATTCTGAAAATAAACAAACAGATTTGACATTATGGCTCGAATCAGTTACAAAATGCTTAATACCTACATCATGTGACCCATTTATTCGTGCTTTATTCACTCATGATTCAAAAACGTATCTTTCATTAGGACAGGAGATATCAGAGTTCATTCTTCTCATTACATCAACTAAATTTAACAAAATGACCGTTCAAATACCAGATTTTTTGAGTGAAAAGTCTTTTCAATTTGGCCCAATCAAAATCAAAGGCGAAGACATCTGGAATATGCTTATTTCCAAACTAGACTCAATGCTGAAGTACAATCTTTCATGGATTTTGATTTTTGCAATTCATTATTGGTATTGCAGCGAAACAGATGATATTGAGACATGTTTCAAGCAGTTTTCTTTGATATCAGACAAAAACTTAGAAGTTGAAGAGAATAATGACCCGATTTACCATCTTTTAAGAAAATATTCAAATGAAAACATTTCCATCGTCCAAATCTGCAATATTCTTCAACCACTAGATGCATATGCTTTCGCAAGTATCGCATCAGTCCTTTTCAAAGAACAAATCCAACAAAATATTTTAAATAATCTTGTAAACAACGCGGCCGCAGATCTTATCACCAACGACCTTTGGGAATACTCATCTTCGTTGTACATGTCGCGAGGCTTAAATATGGAAGGAAACTTCGTAATCACGAAATTCTGTAATCCTTTGATACAAATGAACGAAAACGAAAAGAGGTTGGTTGAAGACCTTAAAATACCAGAAGATGCACTCTACATGGCAAAAGCTATGAAAGCTTCTTACATCGCATTATTATACACATCAAAGGACAAACTCGAGAAGTTATCAACAGCAATCGATCTCTGCTTCCTTGCACATAACACAGCAACAGCTTACAAGCTTGTTTTCAATGAATTTTTGCCACTTGCGATTGAACTTGGAGTTCCAATCCAAGAAATTGCTCATTGGTCACAACCATTCAAATCCCATCCATTTGATCCTACATTTGCTGACCATTTGGCCGTTTTGGACGTAATTTCGGGATTACCTTACGATCCTGCAAATATTTCAAGAATTCTTGCTAATGAATGGAGTACTTTTGCTGTTAGAAGAGAAGTAGCAAAGATTATGCTCAAAAATCCAGTAAATGCACAATTTCTTCAGAATGTAGATGCTGCACCAAAATTAGAGATATTATCCAACCTCGCTCAACATTAAATATATAGAATTAATCATTATAGAGATCAACTGTCTTTTATTATTCATATTTTCTTTTATATAAATATTTATTATTTTTAATTCAAGAATAGAATATATTTAACTCATTTTTGCACACAATACAATACTATTATGTGGTTAAATTTCGAAATCAGACATAATCTCCAAATTTTTAAAATAAATTTAAGCCAAAAATGTATAGTTTACCGAGAATATTTCTTTTATTCATTGATGCAAAGCGTTTTATTTATGTTTCATCATAAATTAGGAAAAAGTCTGTTTATAAATTTTAGATAAAAATGATTTTCTTCCTTATCCCTTTATTCAAATCACTTGAAAATTTCCCGGTATATCCTCAGCCTACATGCGCAACGAATTTCTCTTTCAACACATATACTTATGCATGCCAAGCCAAATGGATAAATCCTGCAAGCGCAGTCTACAATGCAGATACACAAGAATTTTCTTGCTCAGATAGTACATATGCTGTATTATTCGAAGATGGTGACCAAGTTTGTAAATCTGTTGATGACATTGATACAACTAAATATACAGAGATTACATTCCATAAGTTATACTACAACAATGATCTTATAAGTGATTTTGCAGCAGGTGATATTAATACAACGTATTTAAGCAAATTAAAGATAAACTATGCGATTTGCAAATCAGTTCAATTACAACCACACAGATCCTGCCAAGTAATTGCAAATTACTACGCATCAGTTGGATATAAAGAGACTGACAAAGCATACACAACATATACTAATCTATTTAACCCAAGTACAAAATCTGGTGGCCTTTATGGCTATTCTTATTGGCTTAGAGGTATCCCGTGGGTTTCATATCCATCATCTATTGGCCAAGTCGATGACAATGACCTTATATCGACAACTTTCGAATACAAAGACGTTCTTACTTTTATTTTAGCCAGGTATGATGAAGATGGTAATTTTATGGGTTACAAGAAGATGACAGATAATTTCGTTTATTGTGGTGGAAACAACAACGTAACACAAATTTGGAGAGTTATTGGAAGTAATTATGAGAGTAAATGCAGTCTAAACATCACCGAAATGAACTATCAAGACAACCATTACATGTATGAGCCATTCTTCCTTGATAATAACGTATTGAGACCTGTTCCAATTATGATTACAGGTCAATCAACGAATAGACCATATCGTAGGTTCTTTATTACAGCAGATTATCTTTTAAACAATAAGATTAGATATGCTTCTTCAATCAAACTTACAATAACTTTAAAGGATGGATCAAAAGATGAAATTTTACCTCCTTTATTTGAAATTAATTACACAACAGTACTCTCAACAACAACTTCAACTCATCCATTTGAGTTTTCAACCACCTATACTGAGACATTTACGAAATTCTGGAGATCAGTTATTATTGTTTCGGCAGTTTTCGGTGCTCTTGCATTTGCATACTTCCTTTTCAAGGCTTTCACATATGTTCAACATTTCGGTGAAGATGGAATTGATGGAAATGTTATTCTTGGCATTTTTGGAGAAATTTTACATATTTCCGGCGTTTTATTGTTTTTCATCGTCTTCGTTTTCTCATTCTACCTTCTCTGCTTCTTCAAATGGCAGAAAAGCCTCTTCATGTTTTTACCAGATATCAGCGATTTAAAGAACCTCACAATTATGCAATGGGTTGCATTCGGATGTGTTGCTGTATCTGTTATAGTGAAGATTATCAAGACAGCTCGTACAGATGTCTTCTTAATTGACTGGGAAACACCTCGAGAGAAAGGTTTCCCTGTTTCTTCATGGAGAAGACTCATGATATCGAATGAGTGGGTCAGATTATTCACAATTAGATCATATAGTGTTCCTTTGACTTTAATAATTTTATTATTTATTCTCACAGGTTTCAAGACAAACTTAATGGCCATGCCAATACCATATACATTATTAGTTGATCTCGGAATCCCATACAAAATCCTGATTTTCGCATATACATCTTTCTTATGGCTATTATTCATGCTTGCCCAATGGATTTTTAACACTTTTATTAGATGGGGTATTCTAAGAAATCCATTCTGCAACTTCCTCGATCTTTGCGCCATGTCAAATTGTTCTGTAATTATAATGGTTTCAAATAGTTACGGATATTACTTACATGGCCGCTCAGTTCATGTACATGCTGATGAAAACATGATTGCTCTTCATAACCAGTTAGCTTCTGAAGCGGAAGGCTCTGTTGGCTTAAGAGGTTTAGTTTCAGGAACAACCGACCAAGTATTTGAGATCTATTTAACACAAGGATTCAGAGCCGCTTTCAGACAGACATACGATTCAGTTCAGAGTGTTGTAAGGCCACGAGCTCTTGCAGGAGAAAAGAACATCACATGGGCATCAGTTTCTCTTGAAGCTCTTCAATCTTATGACCATTTGAACCAGTTCTTACAGAAATTCATCAGCGATGAAACAAATTACGAAGTCAGACCAGCACCTTTCTCTCAACAAGCACTTGGAATTGCTCCAGCTGTTAAGGACAAGAGTGTCTTTTTAGTCGAAAGAGATATTTCTTTCAAGAATTCAATGCTTGCAGGAATTGAATGGACTTTAATGATATTTTATGTCCTTCTTTTCGCAGGAATTGAGTCAGAAACAAACTCTCCACCAATTGCTGCTTTCGTAACATTCCTTGTTGATCTTATTATTGTGAAATTGACAAGAAATCGCGGAAGATCTAATGCTGCTAAGAAATCTCTTATCGATAATAGATTTATTTTGTCATAATTATTGTAATTATTGTAAAAACTAACTTTTAACTTGTTATTTTAAAATCAAATTGATTTTTATATTATTTTTTGTTTTAGTTTGAGATCATATCATATACATAACTTTAATAACTGTTGTTAGTAACGACTATTTAAACTCTTTATTGTTCAGTTCAAGATATGGCTGATAATGTGAAGTATCTAGAATTCTTCGAAAATAACAAGGACAATCCTGATGCTCTAGAGAAGTTTATAGGACTATCAGCTCTTATCCATGTATCTCCAGCTCGAAGAACTCCGATTTTACAACAAATTGAACGTGCAAAAAATAAAGAAGGAAAGATTACAAAAGCATGGGATAAATTCGAGCAAAGAAATAAAGGAAAATCAGAATCTGAAGCATTATATCAAATAATTCAACTCGGTTTAGAAAATAATAATTATTTAGAACGAGTCATCAATTTGATGGCATATCTTATATCAATTCCTCAATTACGTTTATTTACGCAGCCTTTACTTGAAGAAACTAATTTTATTAACGCAATTCCTTTAGATCATCCTCTTATTAGCATTTTTGATTACTTTTTATCATATCAATATCAGTTTGATAAAGGTGTTTTAACATATAAAGAGGCAACAAGTGAATATAACAAGTTTATCATCAATTTTCAAGATGAAATCAACAAAATTGATCCGAATTTACCACTTTCTAAAGCGTCAATCAACGAATTACAGTCGTATTCATACATATACGGAGTTTTATCTGAAGTTCCGAAAGAATTAATTGCCAAAATTTTAAATATCTTGAATATTACTCCTTCTAACGATTCCAATCATAATTTATATTCAATATCAAGAGCTCTACAACCACCACAAGATTCTCAAGAAAAAATTCCATCACATATCCTTCCAATTCGTTCTCCACCAGATATTGTATATCCGCAGTTCACAAAGTATGCATTATCAATGACAGATGCTACATTACAAGTATTTCTTCAAAAAAGGTACAATTTCGCGAATAATTTGATGGATTTACTAAAAAATGTTTTAGAAGCATTGAATCCGAACAATGAGGTTCGATTTCATCGAAATGCAGTACCTCTTAGAATTCCTTCCATCCAAACATCGAATTCAAAGAAAACAGGAATAATAATAAATCTTGCACTTGATCCAACGTTTTTACAATGGGATATACAAGGTTTTTCAGAAGGAGAGATCATTTATCTGCTAAATGTTATCGATTCCTTTGAAAATGAAGAAAATAATATTTTATGTGTTGGATGCATCGTCAAAAATGTACTTGCGAACCATACATTGCAAGTCAAAGTCGATGCAGATGATGTTCCGTCGAGAAACTACAATGCTGTCGTTAAATTACCTTTGTATCTAAATAGAGACGGTCAAAAACTCCTGGAGCTGGCCAACTGCATCAACATTGAGAACATCCCAAAGAAAGTTCTTGACAGCTTCATTGGCTTCAAGAATTCTCAAGGTCCTGGCATATCATTAATTGAATATCCATTTGGAACGACTTGCATCGACCATGCGGCCCGTTTTGTTACAGAGAACTTTGTTTACGGAGAGAAGACACTCGTTATTTGTCCGAATACCCAAATAATTGACAATTTTTTGAGAAAAATGAAAAATTTCGAAAAAAATCTAATTCCTTCTTTTTATTATTTAAGACTCGACATGTCTCCTGAAATCAGCTTCCAAGTAGCCGTGAGAACAAAGGACCAGATCCTCCAGACACTAATAGATAGCGGAATTGACAAAGCTTGGTGCCAAAGTTGTTTAACTGCAATTAATTTTCTAAAAAGTGACAACAAAATTGACAAAACGGTTATTGATTGTTTGGAGCAATTACGGCCATTGGAATATCTTGGAAGTGTTGATAAATGTGTTGATTACCTCAAGAAGAACGTTGCACAGATAGTTTTTCAACTTTCAACGCAAGAATTGAAATTTGAGAATATTAAGTTCAAAAACTTAGTTGTTTTGGATAATTTCTTGGTCCAAGATTCAGATATTATCAGAATATTAACAAGTTGTAAGCCAGAAGTTGTTAAATTTTATGGACAAAAATCATCTGAAGAATTTAATAAATTTTTCAATTTAGATCCGGCCTTTAGAAGAATGATAACATCTAGTACATATAACAAAGAGTTTTATTCGATAATTGACCAAAAAGACTCGAATATTATTAATTTTATCCAGAAATTTAACCAAAACTCCGAAATCCATGAACCAATAACTATCCCTGTTATTGTCAATCCATGTCATTACTTCGAAACCTCTTCCCAAGAGGAATCCATTGAAATTTCAATTGCAAGTGCATTTTTCTTGAGAATGACGGGATTAAATCCATCAGAAATACTGATTGTTGTTCCTAATGATGAGATATGTGCGATTGCTGTTGATTTGATGAAGAAAAGAGCAAGTTGGAATCCGAATCTTTTGTTGATGAAAGAAAGGATTGTTGCAATCAACAAAATAATACAAGAGAACTTGGACGCGTTTGCTATTTGCGGAGATTTGTCTTTCCAGGGATTTTCAGATATTAATGAAATTTCTCTTTTCTTGGCTGACAGAGCAACAGGAATTCTCTTGTTGTCTGGTCCAAAATTCGATGGAAATATGATGGAGAATGTAAATGACTTGAAAATCGCTTTCGGAGAAAAATTTGGAAAAATTTTCGAAAAAGGAGAAAGAAATGTTTTTGATGTTTTATCATCAGAGATGTTTTTGCAGTTGGTCTATCATATGCAATGCCAAATTGCCCAATAGCTGCTTTATATTAATGTATATTTTTTTAAATAAATATAGATTTGTTTTACTAAAAAAAATTGATAAAAAAAATTTTTTAATTGCTTGCAAACATTCAAAATTTGAGAACTTTTAAACAAATCTATTTTGAGCCTATGTTTCTTTGATAATTGTAATCTTCAGGACATTGATGGTATTCCAGACTCAAAATTTGGTTGATTCAAATTGGATTTTGGGAAAGATTAAACCCATTATCCTATATTTATCGTTTTTCTGCTTCAATATTGAGTGAACCTCAATCAAAATTTTGAATAAGAGATCTTACGAAGGAAAAGGAGTTTGAAGAAAAATGTTTCTAATTTGTCTGTATGGAAACAAAGTCCAAAATGGAAACATTTTTTTATATAATAACTTGAGATGTAAAATGAGTACGTTGCATGTGAATGCGTCAAAAAGTTTGGAAATGAATTTCAAACAGCTTGGTGACGACTTTTTCAACTTTTTAATATGTAGAATCTTTTTAGCCTTTATCTCAATCTGCAGTGTTTTTATTAGCTTTGATACTTTGTTATCTTATTTTTATTAGATCCTAAAACGAATTTTTAATTTGAACTTTGGTATCAAAAAAAGTGCTTAAATTCTTTTATGGAATGACTGCTCTTCAATATGCAGTTAAGATTAAAAAAAATAAAATTATGGGGAAAAATATGTTTTTAAAGTAAGTTTACTGTTGATTCTGTGAATTTTCTTGCTGTATTTGTGGAGCTTGTGGAACTTTTCCATTTGCTTGACGCCATTCGCAGAAAGCTTTGTACTTCATCGCATTGACGCGTTTCTTCTTGAAAGAGTTTTCCCACGATTTGAACTGGGCGAACTCATCAATAGGAATCTCAACTACTTGATCGGATTCGTATTTGAAATGAGACCTCTTGTCTTTCCTATTATTCTTGCTTCTCTTATCTTGATTCCTGCGGAGTTTCTCCTCCTTACTACGAAGCTCTTCTTCAAGCTTCTTCAGCTTTTCCTCTCTGTCCTTAAGACGTTCTTCTTCTGGGAGATTGTTAATGGATTCTTCGCGTTGTTCGAGAACAAAGTTCTTCTCTTCGACTTCATGATTGAGTATTTCCTTTTTCTGATCTTCAATCTCATCTTCAACAGGCATGACGGGTCTCCAGTCTACTGGTGGGAAGTCTTGAGTATTTGGTAATTTCATTGGTTCAGGAGCTGTCTGAGACATGAATAAATGTGAAGTGGAGTAAAATCCACCGAACAATCACTTGCCTATAAAAAATCGTTGATAGAGCTCAGAAATAAATCTGAAATTTTTTTATAAATTCGGATCATTTTCGTACAATTCATATCGTCGTAGACAAAATTTTTATATAAATGTTCATTATATGAAATATAAAACATATATGAATAAATTTCGATTTGAATAAGAATCGATAAAAATCGTTTATATTCTTCACATCAAACTTCGGTGAAATTAAAGATTGAGAATTAAAATAGCATATCATATTCATGTATAAAATCATGTATTTTAGACAAAAATTTTACAAATTTATGTATGATTTCAAACGAAATTCGAAATTTCACATCCAAAGTTTGAGACATATTTGTTTACACATTACAATCGCTAACAGTGTTTGGGTAACCTTCACTATATTCGAAATTGATGCCATGAAAATTTTTTTAAAAAAATCCGAAATTACCCATACAAGGAATGAGATATGAGTTTTCGTATTTAAATCACTAATAAAATGCAATTAAATTCATTTTAAGCTTTAGATACAGCATTCAATACACTATTAGAAAATAAAAATAATAATCACATATCCTTAGTGTATTGATTCAAAACAAGCTTGACTGCTTCTGGCTTTTCAACCTTTATATCATCAGGCTTGAATGTGAAGAAACTTGGTTTCTTCTCATCAGCCTTTCCATTAATTTCGATTATTACATTTACATCTTCCAAATGAGTTTGGAATTGCTTCAAATCAAGTGGATGCATTGCTTCTCTACTTGCCAGACTATTGCTTTAGCTGTTGCATCATCTATCTCTCTGTAATCGTGAATAATGAAATACATGTTTCTTCTTTGTCCGAAATCGCAGTCTCCACAAGACATTTCCAATGCGAACAAAATCAAGAATCACTTTCTTAAAACTCTCATTGTTCCTTCGTACTGTTTCTGCTTGAGGAAGCTGTACATCTCGTTGAAGAACAATGGTGCATGCTTTGTCATCAAAAGAGGAAAAACTCTTTCTGTTGAATACAAATCAAAAATTTATTGTACAGAATTTGAGATGAAGTCTCAATTTCGTGTAATAAATTTTTGATTTTCTTCATTCATAAAAATAGAAAACAAAGCTGTTATATGCAGCTGAATGGCCTTGAAAATCAAGATAGAAGTGAGTTGCTCGTTTCTTTTGTAAAGTTTCGATTAACTCTAACAAATATGATTTTTGAAATCGCAATTTCATTTTCATAATGACGCACTTGACATATATCATTGTACAATCTGCTGAAAACAAAATATTGAATTCTCTTTATACTATATTGCATGGGATAAAGTTGATGAACTGAAAACCAAGTTTCCAAACCTTGCTAATGATCTTAAAAGCAAATTCCCAAATTATGATGCTAACAAAGAAATTTATTTTATGACTCCTCTTGATTGTGCAATTAAATACGGATCAGAATTGTGTTTCAATTACTTGAGAAACATGGGAACTAAGTATACTGGAGAATCATCAGTATTTGCTGTTCAAGGTGGAAATAAAAACATTTTTATGCAAATGATAGATGATGGTCAAACATTTGATAAGTTGATCAACACAGCATTGGATTATCGACGCTACGAAATTGCAGAGTATCTTAAATCGAATTTTGGACAAATTCCTAATTCAATTGCAGAATGCATGTATTTCGGAAATTTTGATATTGCATCTTATTTACTTTCTAATGGATCAGATATCAATAAATTTTACAACTTTTTTCTTTTCATATCTTTCATTGTTTTACGAAATTCTCTTTCTTATTATGTTGATTGTTTTTTAATATCATTCTTTTTCTCTTCAAATTTATCAATGATTTAAGACATTCTCTTTCTTTTCATATCTATCATTGTTTTAAAACATTCTCTTTATTTATATTTTCTCTGACATATCATGTAAATCATTGCTTTATGGCATTTGTTTTCTTTTTATTTCTATCATTGATTTATACATTTCTCTATATTTTAATCTCATTCTCTGTGATATTCAATTTAATATTGATGAATGTCCTCTAAGTATTGCAATCAAAACAAAATCAATTGATATTATTCGATTCTTAGTTGAACGTGGTGCAAATGTTAATATTGACCTTCTTCTCTTTATTTCTATGTCTATTAATGTTTTATAGAGTAATCTTTTTAATCATATTTCCCATTGTTTTATACAATTCTCTTTCTTTTTATATCTATTTTTGTTGTATGCAATTCTATTTCTGATTATATCTATCATTGTATTGTGTGATTTTCCTTCAAGCTATGTCAGTCATCGTTTTATAAAATTCTTTGATGCTTAATATTTGTTATTATTTAATATAGTTGTTTTTCTCTTAATATTTATTTTTGTTTAATCGTGTAAATTTCATTTTCATATCTTTTGTCATTTTAAGGAATTCTTCATTTTTCAGTCTCCTTCACTCTTTTATGTCATTACTTTTCTTTTCATATCAATCATTATTTTATACAATTCTCTTTCTTTAAATATTCATCATTATTTTCATACCATTATCTTGCCTATCATATTTCTTATTGCTTTATATGGTTCTCTTTCTTTTCAGATTTATTATTGTTTTATGCAATCCTCTTTCGTTTAATATAATTCTATTTTATTATTAATGAATCCCTTCTTAATGTTGCAATTAAATTGAATTCAATAGAAATTGTTCGTTTATTAGTTGAACATGGTGCAGTTGTCAACAATAAAAGTCTTCTCTTTCTTACCATATTGATTATTGTATTATAGAATTCCTTTTAGTTCCATTTCTAACATTGGTTTATTTAATTCTTTTTATTCCCATATCTATTTTATTAATGAATACCCTCTTAATGCTGCTATCAAATTGAATTCAATTGAAATGGTTCGATTCTTGGTTGAGCATGGTGCTGATGTTAATATGAAACGCCTTCTCATTCTTTATATCTTTATCTTTGCTTTATTTTAACCTTCACTTTCATATCATATAAATCATTGTATTATTTAATTGTTATTCTTTTCATATCAATAAATATTTTTATGAAGTTCTCTTTCTTTATGTATTAACCATTATTTTATTCAATACTCCATCTCTTTATATTGATCATTATTTTATGGTATTCTCTTTTATTTTGTATTAATCATTGTTTGATAAAATTATCTTAATATCCATGCATATCATTATTTTATGGAATTCTTTAGATATTAATGAATGCCCTCTCGGCCTTGCAAAGGAAATTAATTCACATGAAATCGTTAATTTCTTGGTTCAACATGGTGCAAAGATTGTCAACTGAATTTTTTTTTCTTATTGTATGATTCTGAACTGAAAATGGAAATAGAATCCATACATTAATTAAGAATAAACAATTATTTTGAAACACGATTTCATCAATTTATTCATGAGTCCAACCATTTAGATCTTATTTTTAAAATTATGTGTTTAGTTTCTTCCACTCAAAAATAGTAAGGAAAAATACATGTATTATCTTTAGTTTAGTGTTGAATAATTAAAGAAATACCAATTAATAATAAATAATAAAGATACAAATTGTCTTACAATCACCAAACTTTTAGATGAGGATTATAAACGAGAATAATAAAAGAAGTTAATGATGATAATAGAAAGTACAATAATATAGTTTAAATAAACATTAAATATCACAATTTATACATAAAAAAATAGAATAGAATAGCCTTTTGATTAATAAAGCTAATAGTAAAATTGGAAGGTAAACTTAAGTTGTATATTGCAATTGACTAAGTAGCTCTCTATTTCTTGAATTACAGTCCTGTAATGCCTGGGTTAATTTTTCTGTTAGTTGTGTTTCTTGGGCACTTTTAGCCTGCATTTTCTTTGCTGCGGCTTCAAATATTTCTCTCTGATGCATATTTGCATTGATTAGGCCTGCGATTTGATCTTTATATTTCCTTTTGAGATGTTTAATGCGGTCGGATGATAATTTTGATTCCTCTATTAGTTTATTATTAAGGATTTTATATTTTGATTGAAGAATGTTCAATTGATCTTTCAAATCATTTATTATCGTCTGATATTCTTGTTTAACTTCTAATTTCGCAGCAGAAATTTCTGATTGCAAGTTTTCGATTGTGTTTTTAAGAGATTTTATTTCAAAATCTTTACTCTTTAAAGCATTATTTCTTTCTATATCGAATTCCCTTCGAATTGTTACTTGCACATTAATATTTTCGGAATCTTTGAGCATTAATTCATCTTGCTTAACTTTGAGTTTGTTTTCAAGATCATTTATTTTAATTCGTAATAGTTCGTTTTCATGAGTTGAAGAACTAATCTGATCTGAATTGACAATCATATCGGTTTTTGATTTTTCTATTAAAGCTTGAGCATCTGAAAGCTGTTTATTAAGTATTTCTTCTTTGTTGTGGTAATCTTGAATTTTATTTTGAAGTTCATTAATCATTTTAGGAGCATCATTGATATCTGAAACTCCAAGTGTTTGGATAATGGAATCAAAATTATCCTTTTCATCTAAAGCAATGTTTGCAGCTTCCAGTTGATTTTCTAGATGCAAATTTGAAGCAACTAGTGCTTCAATAATATTGTAATATTCACTATTCTTAATTGATTCTAGAGTATCATCCGGGTAATCTTGTATATTTGGGAGGATTCGACCTAATGACTTTAAAACAGAGTCGTTGTATGTGATAAACGCCTTTTTATCGAGATTTGCCTCAGCAGATATAATTTTCTTCCACTCTGTTTTAATAATATTCACTGTTTGCTTTGCAATTGTAAGTTCATTGGCTTGCAAATTATAATTTTCTGTGAGGGCGTCCAAATTATCTTTCAGGATTTTATTCGAGTTCTCGATATTATTGTAGTTTTTCACAAGTGTATTAATAATAGCTTGGATTTGCTGCATTGAGGTATATTGCGTTTGTGATTTAATGAAATTTAATTGATTTTTTAATTCTGGATTTAGAATGCTTATAGTAAGATCAGAAACATTTACTTGATCACCAATTACAATTGTTGGCTTTTGATTTTTGTTAATCTGTTGTTGGAGATTTTGATTGTCAAAACTGATGTTTTCAATAACTGAATCCGTTTTGATATGAATTCTAAGCATATCTCCAAGTAAATTTGAGAGTTTATCGCGCGAATTTTTTAAAATCGAAATTTCTTCTTTTTGTTGAGAAATTATTTGCTCAAAATTTCGAATTGAGGCTTTGAGATTGTTATTTTCTGTTGTAATTTGTTTCCATAAAGCTTCTGCTTCTTGATGGGATGTTCTTGCTGCGATTAATTGAGACTTTAACGCTGAAATTTCTTGATCTTTGAGAATTATATCTGCAGATAACTTATCATGTTCAACAAGAAGATCCAAATTAATGTTTTTGCTATTTTCTGAATCTTGAATTTTTCTGTTATCCTGCTTAGATTTAAATGTTTTCTTTTGTGATGATTCTACAGCTCGTAAGGATTCTCTCATTGAATTTAAAGTCTGTTTTAGTTGTCTATTAATGAATAAGAGCTGATTGTTTCCGCTCTCAGTCATCACTGGACGTTAAAATCAAATTTTAGAAAGGAGAGAAAAAAAAATTAAAAATGTTGCAATTAAATAGAGACCAGGATGCATACATGGCGATTAAAAAAAAAAAAAAAAAAAAAAAAAAAAAAAAAAAAAGGTAGTGGGGCTTCCAGGCACTTCGTGCCTTCTAGCCCTGAAGATGTTTAGTATAAATGAAGTCTTAGAGGACAAACATGACTATGAGTTTTGATATGACAAGATAGAATATGAGAGAGGTCCTATAAACCGGAGAAAGTGTTATATAAACATCTGTCATATTACTCAGAATATTATACAGAATTCAATAAAAATATATTTTAGGTGAAGAGGTGAGATTTCACCTGTTTTTTCACCTCATTTTTCACCTCTTGAATTTTCATGAATTTCTTCGTAAAGACTTTGTCAAGATTTCATCGTAAAGACTTTGTCAAAACTTCATCGTAAAGACTTTGTCAAAACTTCATCGTAAAGACTTTGTCAAAACTTCATCGTAAAGACTTTGTCAAAACTTCATCGTAAAGACTTTGTCAAGATTTCTTCGTAAAGACTTTGTCAAGATTTCTTCGTAAAGACTTTGTCAAAACTTCATCGTAATGAGCGTAAATCAGACAAAAATATATTTTAGGGTAGAAGGGTATATCTACCCCGTTTTCTACCCTCTTTTCTACCCCATATGTACTTACTGAAAAAGTATGTGTTCCATCTGTCATTTTACTCAGAATTTTACACCAAAAATAATGTTTAGGTGAAGAGGTGAGATTTCACCTGTTTTTTCACCTCTTTTCTCACCTCTTGAATTTTCATGAATTTTACACCAAAAATATATTTTAGGTGAAGAGGTGAGATTTCACCTGTTTTTTCACCTCTTTTCTCACCTCTTGAATTTTCATGAAATTTACACCAAAAATATACTACTAGGGTCATTTACGAAGAAATCTCAACAAAGTCTTTACGATGAAATCTTGACAAAGTCTTTACGAAGAAATCTCAACAAAGTCTTTACGAAGAAATCTCAACAAAACATAGACAAGAAAGTTCATGAGAAATTAGATGAAGAAGTCTTAACAAAGTCTTTACGAAGAAATTCATGAAAATTCAAGAGGTGAGAAATGAGGTGAAAAAAGAGGTGAAATCTCACCTCTTCACCTAAAATATATTTTTGGGTCATTTACACTCATTTACGAAGAAATCTCAACAAAGTCTTTACGAAGAAGTCACAATAAAACATCTGTCAAAAACCGCTTTTTAACTTCACTTAAAATGCCACGTAAGCTACGTAAGAATATACGTAAGAGGAAGAGAGCATTGAAACATCCAATAGTAAGACTAACACCACAACAACAGTTGCAACAACAAATGCTGAATGACCCCACTATGTTGCAACAAATGTCAAGCAACCCTATGCTTTTAAACCGAGTTGTTGGTGCACAGAGTGGAGGTTTAAGAGCGGCACTTTTAGCGAAAATGGCAGGCTATGGTGGAGCCGCAGACGGAACAGCCTATAACCCTCAAAGTCAAATGAATTTGAGTTCACTCAAAAATCAAATATCAGATGTCAAAAAGTCAAACATAGACATACAGAAGCAAATAAGTGAAAACGAAAAGAAACTAGAATATGACAGACACACAAAGAAACTCAATGAGTTAAACGTAGAGAAAAAGAAGAAAGAAGAACAACTGAAAGAACTAAGTACAGAGGAATATGCGAAAAAAGTGTCAGAAAAAGCAGCAGAAGTAGCAAAAATGGAACAAGATGTCATAAATTTGAAAAACCATACTACTCGATATAAAGTACTGAAAGATGAAGAAATAAAACAAAAAGCCCTGAAGACATATATGGATAGCGATGAGTATAAAAAAGAAGTTGAAGCAAATGTAAAGGCAGAAAAACTTTTACAGTTGCAAAACCAAACCGTACAGTATGAAAACTTAGCACAAGAAAGTAAAAATAACGACGCGGCTATGCAAAAGGCAATGAAAAGCGCAGAATATATAAAAGCTAACAATGACTGGTTAGATGCCCAAGCCAACGCTAAAGCAGCCCAACTTATAGGGTCAATAAGGACAAAAATACAAGCGGATGAAGACAGTTCAAATGAAGCTTTAACAAATGCTGACTTTAAGAACGCCTTCGAAGCTCTTCATAGTAAGGTGAAACAAGTGAACGACTTCTCATCTGGAAAGAAACTGAAGTCTGAAGGTTTCGACAAAGAGTTAAAAGAAGTAGCACAAAATATGACGAAAATAACAGATGCAGCAACGAGACAGGCAGTTCAAAGTGCCTATGACGCCGTTAGAGCAACTGTTGTGAAAAGTCAAGAAAAAGAGTTACAACAGACCAAAACAGACCTAGTAAATGCTTTCTTAAAAACGAAAAGTCAGGTAGGACATTACGCTGCAGATGGAACATATGTGCCAGCTGGTGGAACTTATATACCACCAAACCCTCCAAGAGAAGCACCTGCACCAGGACTACCTAGAACATTTACATCGTCACATGGACACAGACACAGGCATGCACAACAACCAGCACAACAACCACCTCCACAACCAGCACAACAACCAACACAACAACCAGCACAGCAACCAACAGTTCAAAACCCTGCACAACAACAACCACAAACAGAGCAAGGACATAAAAGAAGTAGAGAACAAGGAAACCAAGAATTCTTAAAAATGCTTAAAGAAGAGTGTGGTTTCCCAGATACTGTTGACTTTAGTGACAGATATAAAGAAGCTATTGGAAAGTTCAAGGATGGAAATACTGACCCGAACCTATTTAGCTTTATGGCTCAGCACCAAAACGGATATAATCTCAAACCTGGAAAATACAAGCTCGCTAAGGGATATGATTTAATAGCATATCATCCAAATGACATGGATGAATTTACTCCGAGATATTTGATGTCAGAGCTAAATGACAATTCAACTTTCGTCATGAAACGCGTAAAAAATAGAGACGGAACGAAAGAACAAAAGCTTATGAATGCGGATGACGTAGATAGGGAAATTGTTGAAAACGGTCTCGGAATATATGAAATGCCAGCAGATGAGGTACAAGAAACTCCACAGGAAGAAGTTCAGATACAACCAGACATGGAAGAAATAGTTCAGCAACAACAGCTAGAAGAGCCTGAAGGAAACGAACAAGTCCTTCCTTTGGAAACTAACTTCACAGAACTAGATGAAGATTTGGAACAGCCGAAAAATCTTGACCCTCAACAAGAGTATGCGGAGAATATGGAATATTTCCAAGAGTCTAAAAAAAATTCGGCTGACATAGTAGAAGAATATCGAAAAATGTTTGCCGACATACAAAAGACTCCAACATCAGATGAAAATATCCAGCATAGAATGGAAGAACTGAAAAAAAATGTACACAAATACAACAACCCTTTTTACTTACGAGCATTTAACGTTCAATCTTCGGATGAACTCGGTGAAAATAAAAGGTTAAATTTCAAGAAAACATATAGAAATGAAACATTGTTTAAAGTTCATTCAGAACCTAACCAAGATGGAAACAAACCTACTTTTGTTTCTGCAGACGATGGAACTACAATGAGATGGGGTCATAAAGCTAACCCGGATAGGTGGTTCATAAACTTACAACCACAATTCCAAGAAGTTGTAGACGCAATGGAAGTCAATGGTGAACCAGATATAGCTGGTATTTTTCAGCGCGGCTTTAATGCCATTGAAAGATATGAAACATGCAGATATTTTGGACCAGTATGAAATGAACATGGCTGATGGAAATATAACACCTGACGTTCTAGAACATTTATCTCAAAGAACTACACAGAACCATAGAGATGGTATATTTGGTGAAGAGTTTAGAAAGAAAGTTAGGGAGGGAGAAGGAAGAGAACCTATTGTACATGACCTTGCAAACGAAAGTTTACAAAATGTCATAAAAACTTACTTTGCAGACAATGAACTGAGAAGGGATGAATATTTAAGAAAACTCAAATTGACAGTACCAAATGAAATGTTAGTATTGAAAAACATGTTCCTTGACAAAATAAAACCAACTACAGAAATAAACGACGCAAGACTGAAAGATTGGGTAAAAGCTTTCCCATTCACAAAAGATATAGTTGGTAACATGGAAAGAAAACCAGAATGGCTACAAAAACATATATTTGGAAACGAGCATATTCCATATGGACAGGCACTGTTTGAAGCGCTTGAACCGGAAACTCAGGAAAGAGTCATGCAAACAATACGCGAAGACTCAAATACAGACTATGACAAACTCTTTCTAGGATATAGGTTACCTGAGATGGGCGACCAGAGCCCAAAGGCAAAAAGGACATGGGAAATTTACAACATACTAGGTGAACATGAGGCAAAGATGCAACAACTTCAAGCAGAGGGCAATGAAGGAAAAAAGAGTTAAAAACTCAGTCAGGAAGAAAGTAAAGCTTGGTCGGAGTGGGTTCTATTATGACATATAAATCCAACTATTCTATATTTTTACTCATATGAAATGTACGCCGCTCAGAATATAACGCCAACAGTTTTGGATGCTATGAATGGAAATGTTTCCGAATGGTATAACGAATGCGACAATGCCATTAGAAGGTCAGAAATAGTTCCTGGAACTTACGAATATACAACTGCTGTTTCTTATGGAAACGTAGGTGAGTTTGGAGAAGGTTCTTCAACAACAGTAGATATTGCTTGCGACAGGTTTCATATAATTTCTATTGACAACTCTTTCTTATACGTGGAACAAGACATTGAAATAAAACCTTCTGCCAAGTTGTCTGACAAGAAAGGTTGCAATGGAATTTTCTATGTCGGATACCAATATGCTCCAGAAGTTTTCATGGGATATAAGATATATTCTAACTCTGACTTAGTTCAAACAGTAACATGGGCAAACTATGAATGGTTCGCTTTGAGAAACTCAGTACAACCACAAGCTAGAGAACAAACAGACCAGTATGCAACTATTGAGAAAATAAGAAGACTTGACCCTAACGTTCCAGGAGTTTATGTTAACCTTTCTGGACAAACTGCAGCAGCAGTAACCAAAGTAAAACTGAAACTTAGAGTTCCTTTGTCATCTTTCCTCATCTTCAGGTTTTTAAGATACTTGCCAAACTGGGCAGGAAAAATTTCTATCGAACTTACTCCAAGCAAAAATAACTTAGTCATTGCACCAACACAAGACCCATTCACTCTTACAGAAGTAGTGGGAACAAATAAAATGTCATTCGCCGACTTTTGCAAAAACAAAGTTGACTTAGACTTTGGTTTCTCAAACCTCAACACTGAAGTAAACTATTATTTCAATGCTGCTGGAGATGCTTGGACCCAGTTAAGTTCACATGCGAAAAGTTTTGAATGCAAGAGAATAGAAAGCAGACTTGCAGTCTATATGTTGGACCCAGATATTTCAAATGCTTTAGCTGCCAAATATATTGCAGTTCCACTTATGTTCCCTATACACCAAATATCTGTCAAAGACTTTGCAGGTGAAGTTGGAAACCAAAGTGCTGACCCAGGTGCAAGAACAGATATTGCTTTAACAACTGCAATGAAACATGCAGATACTATGTTTGTACTGTTCAGACGAACTATAAATGACTATTCTTGTTTCTACAACCCCGGTATTAAATATCATATAAACATAGATGGCAAATACTATCCAAGAGAAGAATATTCCACAGTTGAGGATATGAGGTCATACAACTTGACATTAGATGCTATGAACTTTAACAACAACTTCACAACAACCATTAACCCTGAAATGCAAAGTTCTATTATGCCAATATGTGAAAGTATGGACCCATACAGGAGGTCAAAAACTCAATATACAAATGGAGACCGTTCAAACTTTTGGCTTGGCATTCCATTTGCTGACTCAGAAGACTTTATGGGTGGTATTTCAACTGTTGGTACAGTTCAAATACAATATACTGGTGACAGAGACGGTCCAGATGAACTGAGAGCAAAGAAGTTTACAAAACCAATAGCACTTTTCACGGAAGATGCTCTTTTGAAGATTCGTTCGATGAAACCTGCTGGGGCTCCTCAGATTGGCATAACGACAGCTTCCATCGAGCAGATTTTGGCAGCAGGTCAGTAAGTTGTTCTTGAACTGACTTCTCTCCGTCAAATATTGACAGTACGCCAGTTTTGACATAAAATTGTATTATAAACTTACCTTTAGAAATATCGGTCAGTTTTGTTGTTATATTTTTGTCTGCTTCAAGAACTTTCACCATCTCGGTTATACCAACTTTCTTTGCTTTATGAAAATATTTTGGTTCAGCAAAGACTGCTATTCTATAACATTTTCCATTGTTTGTATAAAGAACTATTCTGTCAATGTATTTGTATTGTTTGTGTGTGTAAACTTTGTTCTGCTTCAATTCGAAGAGATACTCAAATACGTCCATCTTTTTATTCTAAGTAAAATGTCATTTCCGAAAAATAGAAGCGTAAGTGTTTCAAAAGGTTTAATGGCGTGGCAGATGTGAAGTTAAATTCACCAACTCAAACAAACAGTCAAAGTGTTGTTGTCAATGTCAAAGAAAGAGATGTTGAAGTGGGGAAACCATACGAAGACCAAGATGGTATAACAATAGTTCCTGTAAAAGAACAACCAACATACCCTGAAGTTAGCAGAGACTTAAGTTCTGTTGCAGATATTCGAAACGACTACCAACAACTGAAAGATAAGCTTAAAACTCAGGAGAAGATTTGTCAAGCTTTGGGTATAATGTTAAACTTGGTTGAGCACAACCCTGTAAAAGTGAACTCATATGTCATCGCACCTCATGAAGTTTTGAAAGAACTATTGAAACTTTTGACAGAGGCAGACGATATAAACATCAAAGAAATAGAACCCGACATTGCTTGCTGTGGTGTTTCATATAATGTCATTGACAAGATATACGTTATGAAAGGAGGCGAAACGTTGAACTTAAAATATAGTTTCCCAGACGTCATAAAAATATTTGACGACCACAACATTTCATTAAAATTTATTTGCTAAGTAAAAATGTCAAAACTTCTTGAAAGATGTTTGAAGAAAAAACAATATAGACTTTATTTCATGTAAAGGACTTTACACACTTTTGAACGATATGAAAGACCCTGTTTTGTTTGTTCGTGTAGACAAAGGAAAGTTCTATGTCTTTACAAAATATTTGAACTTCTTAGACAGAGAACTTCAAGAAACGCCATGTGAAAGTTTAGATGAAGTTCTTCTCCACTTTCAGAAAAACTTTTAAATATATGTAAATGGCAGAAGACATAGTGGTTTATACTATTACGACTAAAAACCCTGAGTCATATAATTCTATAACAACAAACTTACAAAGTCCTCAAGGACGATATTGTAAACTGACCTTAAACACGATGACGACTAAAGCCTGTTTTGCTCTTTTGACACCAGAAGATTTTATTGTTGTGAATGGTAAAAAATACTCCTTTGAAGATACTTACTCAGATATACCACCAACAGGTTTTGTTGACTTATTTAATACTTTAAGGACGGATGTAACATGTGCTGCAACTAGAGCAGGTTTCATTATGTTTGGATGTCCGACTGAGTTTAGTATAAACGATATGAGCTATAATACAAAACTTATATCTGGTTTTTACTACCAACAGTTTCCTATAACAGGAAAAGGTGTCATACAAGGTTTGTCTGTTCCATTGACTTTAAGTACACCTATTTTATATATTGTTTCAAACTTAGGTTCAAAGTGCTATTCGAATGTCGACAGAAACTACTATGACCAAAAGATACTCATGCGTATAAACAACACTTTCTCTGCTGGTTTGCCTATTGTTTCATTCGAATGCAGAATTTTCAGCTTTAGTAAACTCAAACACTTTAGCAAACATAAACTTAACCTTAGTTGACGCAAACTTTGTTCCTGTAAAACTTTTATGTCCTATGTATTTGTCAATGACGGCAGAAAAGTTTCGAATTGGAAGATGCAACTGGTGAAAGTATTGTATTTACAAGAACAACTTCAACAACAAATAGCTCAAGAACAACAAATGCAACAAATAGCTCAAGAATAAAAAAATATTTTTTTTATTTTTATAAAAATGTACAGAATAGATGTTTCAGATTTTTATGACTTCCAAGCCTTCAGAAATATGTGTCCATTTAGAGACTATAACAAAGCAGTCGAGAATTTTGAAACGTTTAGTCATTTATTCGACTCTGCCCCAGAATGTTATGTTATGAAAGAATGGGATGTTGTCTTTAACAAACCAAGAGCAACCATAGTTTCAGAACAAGAATGTAAACAGAAACTTAAGAAAATAAAAGTTGTACAAGTTGGTATGAAGATGTTAGATGCTTGGGATATCTTATTGTCAAAGTTAGAAGATTTTTCAGTTCGTGGTATAAAGTTTTATACACCATCTCCAAACTTCTATTCTATCTTCACTGGATATAAATACGAACAAGTAGAATGGAAAGAAAATGTTATTAGAAGCTTGGTTAGACCATGTCAAAGAAATTATATGCAATGGAAACGAAAGAGTCTATGAGTATATCTTATGTTGGTTTGCAAACATCTTACAACATCCAAGTGCTAAAAAATGAAAACTGCTCTCAATTATAATTGGAAAGCAAGGAACTGGTAAGAACACTTTCTTTACAGATATCTTATGCAAACTTTTAGAAGGTTATTCGAACCCGAATATGACAAACTTAGAAAACATCTGCGGTAAATTTAACTCTTCAATAGAGAATATGAAACTTATAGTATGTAACGAACTTCAAAGTATAGATACAACAAAAGTTTTGAACTCGGATGCTTTGAAGAGTCTTATAACAGACAAAGTTGGAGTTGTTGAAAGAAAATATAAAGACCAAAGAGTTTGTGAAAATGTTGCAAATTTCATTATGGTTTCAAACAACGCCGTTCCGATGAAGTTAGAAAGTTCTGACAGAAGATATGTAGTTGTCAGAACGTCAGATTCTCATATGCAAGATACAGAATATTTTGACGACTTAGCAGAAACTTTGACACCTAACTTTTACAACCACTTGTTCTCATATTTCATGACATTAGATATTTCAAAGTTCAATCCAAGACAAATTCCACATACCGAAGAAAGACAAACATTGTTAGAAGCAAACAAGAGTGTATATGAACTGTTTATAGATGAGACTAACTTTGAGTGTTTAGATGAAAGGTCATTGTACGATTCATATAAACAGTATTGTCAAGAGTATGGTTATATGGCAGCTTCTAAACGTACATTCTTGGCAAATGTCAAAAATCTTTTAGATGTTCAGAATGGTGTATATACAAAGAAAAATTTTTCTGAGTAAATTTAAAAAAAATATTTTTTTATCCGATAGAAAAGATGACGAAATATATTTCAGTCAACAAGTACATGACAGAAGTCAAAGAAGAACTAGACCCATTCGCTTATTTGAACGTTTACTTCTACAATTTTGAAAAGTCTACATTTGACAAAGTTTGGAACATCGAACCAGTTAAGTTTGCTATTGTGACTAAAAATGGTGCGAAATTTGAAGACTTAGACATAGAAGGTTTGTTAGCAGTCAAAGAAAATTTTGACAGAAGGTTTTCAAACCTTAAAGAAGGCAAAGCATACAAACTTGTTATACCTTATGAACCAAAGAAAGCAGACGACTATGAATATTATGAGTCTAAGATAGTTGAAGTTCAAGGTAAATTGGGTAAAAAGATTTTAGAGTCTAAACCAGTGTTTGCTCCTAAAGAGGAAGAGAACATTGACATTGACCCAGAAATGTTCTAAAAATAAAATTTTATTTTTACATGTCATATCTCACCTTCTCTGGAATTGGCTCTGGTTCTTTCTTCTCTTCTTCTACTTTCTTTTCTTTCTTCTCTCTCTTCTTCTTCTTCTCTGGTGGAGTTATGTCAAACTTCTCAGAACCATATTTTTGTAAAAGGTCTTTGTCCTTTAATAGCTCTTCTATTCTGTTTTCTATTTCATCTTCAAGAACAGCGCATGTGCCTTCTTTGCATTCTAAGAACTTTTGTTGGACTTCATCTTTCCAATCGGCGTCATCTCTGTCAACAAGTCTGTCATTGACAAATTTTAAGACTGCTCTTTGTAATGTTTTATGGTTCTTGTCATATTCCCAGAAACAGAACTTTAGAACAAATTCACCTTTCTTGTTTACACTATGTAAGATTTTATGGTCGACAGATGTTTTGCTGTCGAAAAGTTTGTCTCGAATATAGATAGCGAAATCGCTAGACATTTCCTAAAAGATAAAATTTTTAATTTTTCTAAAAATATGTTAGAAAAAAAGTTTGCTGACATTGACAAGAAATTTGAGAATGTTTTAAACAAGAACAAGAGGAAGTTAGAAAATGCTCAGATAAAGCCTATACATGACAAGTTCTTATTTGCTCAGAATGGTATAACAGGTCTAATCGCACCACCTGGGTCGGGCAAGACTTTCACTTATCTTAAAATGGCTGCACAACAACAAGAACTAGATGAGAAGAACCCATTCTATGAGTTAGTAGTCATTTGTAGTACTTCTGGTCAATTTGACCAAACCGTCAATTCGTTCAAAGATATTATAAAAAAGTCTAAGTTAGTATGTATAAAGGATACTGAGTTGTTAGATTGGATAAAGAAGTACCAAAGAAGAGTTTTGAAGTACAATGCTATAAATGAGTATATAAATTCGAAGTTTAAAGACCCAAATGAGGAAATGCAGAGAATATTAGAGAAGAAACACTTCAGAAACAAACAGAAAGAGATAGAATACATTTCGAAGAAATTGCAATCGTACGATTGGAAGACTTACCCTCACAGATGTCTTCTTATCTTAGATGACTTTGCTTCTCATCCTTTGTTAAAGAACAGAGAACAAGACATGTGTCGAATTCTTAAGAAGCTCAGACACTTTAACATCTCAGTCGTAATATGTGTACAGACAGCAAAGAGTTTAAGTAAGGATGTTAAAAGAATACTTACTGACATTATACTTTTCCCCGGATTGTCCGAAGACGATTTCATGGAACTTATGAAAGAGTCCATGGCAGGTAAGTTTGACAGACATGAACTATGGGAGAAGTACAAAGTCATACAAGACCCTCATACTTCTTTCAGAATTCATATCTACGCAAACAAAGTTCAAATTGTAAAAAGTCAAGCGTAAAAATGTAAGTGTTTTAGTCTTAGTCTGTTGTGGTGCTGGGGCTGTCGGTTCTTCTGGCTTTGGGGCTGTCGGTTGGTGGTACGTCGGACATTGTCTTGAAACAATAAAAGACTTGTCTTGAAAAAGTAAAAGACTTGTCTTGAAACAATAAAAGACTTGTCTTGAAAAAGTAAAAGACTTGTCTTGAAAAAGTAAAAGACTTGTCTTGAAAAAGTAAAAGACTTGTCTTGAAAAAGTAAAAGACTTGTCTTGAAAAAGTACGGGTATCGTCTTCAAGCAAGACCACTGTTCTCAAATTTGAGAACTTTACACCAAAAATTTCTTGAAAAATAACGGGTCTTGTCTTGAAAAAGTAAAAGACTTGTCTTGAAAAAGTAAAAGACTTGTCTTGAAAAAGTAAAAGACTTGTCTTGAAAAAGTAAAAGACTTGTCTTGAAAAAGTAAAAGACTTGTCTTGAAAAAGTAAAATTGTCTTGAAACAATGACCGACATAGACCCAGCAGATGAGGCAATTTACCATCTAGAGCTACATGAGCCATCTTTGGTGTCAAGCTTGAAAAATAAATGGTTCATTTACTCTTCCTCTTTGAAGTTGTCGAAATACTCTGTTATCTTTTCTTTCAGTAGCGGCAAATCTTCTTTGAATGTAAGTATTGTACAACCTTTCATATCATAGTGTGTTTGAGGTAACGTATCTTGAACTATCTGTTTCACATCTTCATTCGGTGTCATTGAAATCGGTAAGTTTTCGCGATAGAACCAATTTCTGTCAGATTTGTAAATCTTAGCAAGGTCGTAAAAGCTTTTGTTGTTTCTTCTGACTAAATGCAACATAACCATATCTCTGTCTTCTTCATTTTCCATCTCTTCAGTATAAATCATATACTTATAGTTCTTTTCCTTTCCTTTTGGTACCGAACGTGGTATTCTTTTCTGAATGTTTTTGTCTTTTGCTTCAATGACTTCATCTTTTGCTTGAAGTTTCTTTTCCATCTCTTCACGTTCTTGTCTATGAATTTCATCTAACATCATGAAAATATAACAAGCGTAACGAGGTGAAGCCCACATTGCTACAGCATTTACTAAAAGTCTATGAACATAATATCCTTTCAAACTATTTGGCAAATTTTTACGATTTTCGTACGGAATCTCGTTCCTCGGTTTTCCGAGGAACGCAAACATATGAGGAAATTCTTCTAAAAGTTCTTTTGCCTGCTGGTTTTCAAACCAATGATATGCTTGCTTTGTAGAACGAAGAGCATTCATTATACTTTGCATTTGGTACATGTCATCTTTGACCGAACGAATGAGGCGAAGTTGTTTGTTATATTGTATGTATTCGTATTCTTCATTTATGGCTTCATGAACGATAGCAGTTGTTGTGTTCTCTGTTGTTGTCATATCTGTCTTTACATACAAAATAAAAAAAATATTTTATAAAAAATTAGCGTTATTTTTTTATTTTCACAAAAGACCAAAAATAAACGCTTTACATGTATTTTTCAGCAACTTCGTCAAGAAGTCTGTAAATATACCATGCATAACGAGGAGAAGCCCACATTGCTATTGAACTAACTAGGAACTTATGAACATATATACCTTTTAGATGCAATGGTAAGTTTTGTCTGTCTTGGTACATCTTTTTAAGTTCTACATGTTCGAACTCACTCAAAAGTTCATGAGTGCTATTTAATTCAAACCAGTCTTGTGGTTTCTTAGTGTCTGGAGCAAAACATGCTGTCAAAATACTTTGCATTTGGTACATGTCATCTTTGACCGAACGAATGAGACGGAGTTGTTTGTTATATTGTATGTACTCGTATTCTTCATTTATGGCTTCATGAACGATAGCAGTTGTTGTGTTCTCTGTTGTTGTCATATCTGTCTTTACATACAAAATAAAAAAAATATTTTATAAAAAATTAGCGTTATTTCCTGACTTTCACAAAAGACCAAAAATAAACGCTTTACATGTATTTTTCAGCAACTTCGTCAAATAATTTTATAGCTTTATTTATCTCATCTACTTCAAACGTTTCTTTACCTTTTATGGGAGCACCATACATTTTCTCAAACTTTTCAAGTAGTTCTGTTTCAGCAGCTCTCATATCGTTAACGAACACAACCTTGACTCTATTGACTGTACTGTCATATCTTTGAGTTATATTATATGTTCTTCCTATCTTATATCTCTTTGTATTGAAGTCCTTCGGTTTCTGAACGATGTAAAGTAAGCCTTCACTGCAACGTTCCGTATCGAATGAACCATATGTTATGAAGTTATATCCAACAACTGGGTCTAACCATAACAAAACTATTGGTATAAGACTTTTGTCTATAAGATATGCTGTAGTTCCATAGAATCTTACCGATATCATAAGCTTAGGATTTCTTGTCAAAATTTTCTGAGTAGAAGCAATTTTAACCCAGTCGTGGGATGTTTTCTTTCCAGATGGAGATATAATGTCTGACAAAGAATATTTGTTGTATTTCTTTGAGTATCTTACGTTTAAATCACCTATTCTAACCACTTTGGTGTCATTGTCTATCTTTCTAACTGTTTCAAACTCAATGTTTAACATTTCTGTTCTTACATACAAGATAAAAAAAATATTTTATAAAAAACTAACTTTATTTTTTCTATCTTAAGGAAATTCATGAATTTCATACGGAATCCCTTCTCTCGGTTTTCCGAGGGAAGCAAGCATATGCCATTTTACTCAGATTTTTGTTGCTGAATTCAATAAAAATATATTTTAGGTGAAGAGGTGAGATTTCACCTGTTTTTTCACCTAATTTTTCACCTCATGAATTTTCATGATTTCATCGTACATGTTTTGTCAAGACTTCTTCGTACATGAATTTTCATGATTTCATCGTAAATGTTTTGTCAAGACTTCTTCGTAATGAGCGTAAATGACCCAAAAATATATTTTAGGTGAAGAGGTGAGATTTCACCCGTTTTCTCACCTCTTTTCTCACCTCTTTTTTCACAAGCGTTTTACATGAATTGTACGATGTATATTTGAAATCCTAAACAATTTCGTAGCTTCTATTTCTTCTTTTAGTATGTCAAATGTTTTAACGATACCGAAAGTTTCTTTATACTTCTTCTTGACATCAGATAGAAGGAAATCGTCTGCTGTTGGATAGTTTTTGTT